CTTGGTTCAGTTCTAGAATTTCATTGTTAATTTTTTTTCTAGTTGATCTGCCTTATTTGTGATAGAGGGGTGTTGAGGTCCCCCACTACAACTGTATTAGTGCTTATTTGGTTTTTCATGTCCTTTAATATTTTTGTATAGTTGGGGGCATTCATATTTGGTGCATATATATTTAGAATTGTCATCTCTTCCTCTTGGATTGTTCCCTTCGCAAGGATGTAGTGACCATCTTTGCTTCTCTTAATTAGTTTTGGTTTGAAATCAACTTTGTCTCCAAATAACATTGCCATGCCGGCTTTTTTCTGGGTTCCTTTCGCATGGAGAACTGTTTTCCATCCTTTTACTTTCAGTCTATGGATTTCCTTTAGAGTTAGGTGTGTTTCTTGTATACAGCATATTGCTGGGTTTTGTTTCTTAATCCAAATTGTCAGTCTATTTCTTTTGATTGGTGAATTGAGGCCATTAACACTGATAGTTATAATTGAGAGATATTGACTCATCCTTATCATAATGTTTTACTGTTGTTGGCTCTTTTATTTCTTATTTTCCCCCCTTTTGCTTCAGTGTTTTACCTTGCATGGTGCCTTCTCTCTGCTGGGCCTCATGGAGTTGTGACCTTCAATGTCTTTTTCCAGTATATTGCTTAAAATTGTTTGGAGTGCTAGTTTGGTGTTCATGAAATTTCTCAGGTGTTCTTTGTCATGAAAGTGTCTAATTTCCCCATCAATTTTGAAAGATAATTTTGCAGGATACAACAGTCTAGGTTGGAAGTTATTTTCTTTTATGGGTCGAGATACTTCACTCCAGGCTCTCCTTGATTTGAGGGTTTGTGTTGAGAAATCCGCCGTGATTCTGATGGGCTTTCCTTTGTAGATGATTTGTTTCTTTTCTCTAACTGCCTGTAGAACTTTGTTCTTCTCTTGGGTTTCTGGGATCTTGACTATTAGATGTGTAGGTGTAGATTTTTTTTGATCATGGCTGGTTGGAGTTCTATATGCCTCACTTATC